CCAATCAATTCGCACAAAATTTTCACACAATGTTGGCAACACTGAGCTGTGCAATCACTGAAATTTTTGTACCTTCCTATTACACCCAACATCCTGTGTTTATTTATTTTTAAAAATAATAATAGAGCGTTCATTAGTTCTTTAAAAAAAAAAATAAAGCATTAAGAGGTCATTTTCTATAAATTGCCTGAGGATAGCATAAGGTTGAAACCAAGGTAGCGGATTCAACTGGCTTCATGATTTTTAAAGTTTAAAGCTCTACATGTTATTTTTCTTATATTTTTTTTTTGTTTGCAAGTGTATTGAGCACTTTTTAATACTACTGTTTCCTGGTCTGATTCAACTCTGGACATTAAACTTATATATATATATATAAATAAATAAAATAAAAAGGCTTAAATTTTACATATGTATGTGTATATTTACCACTAATATTATATATATATATATATATATACACACACAGGGTGTTCATAAAGTTCATGTGCACTTTAAAAATTTCTAACTTTATTTGTATTTGCAATAGAAATAATCTGTAAAAAAAGTTTTAAAGTTTAATGTACCTAGTTTTAAGTATAGCTAAAATAACTAATGTGATTTCAGGCATTACTGCTGTATATCAGTTGGCAAATGTTTTCCGTGAATTGCAAAATCGTATTATCCTTTGTATTGCTAATGATGGAGGACATGTGGAAACTTAAATAAAATTTCAATAAAACCTTAAAAAAAAATAGATTTAATCCTTTTTCTAAATTTTTCTATCTCAAATACAAATAAAGTTATAAATTTTTAAAGTGAACACGAACTTTATGGATATATGTATATATATATATATATATATATATATATATATATATATATATAAAAATAAATAATGTGAAAAAAGACAAAAGGAAAACTTATCTTAGCCATTGTGTTCCAGCCTCTAAGGGGTATATACATATTTTTTGAAAATGGATTAAATACGACATATTTTTAATTTATTTGTGTAAATGATATTTTAAATGGATACTCCTATTTGAGTAGATATTCTGTTTTTATGTTATTTAATACTGTTTATTATAAACAGAGCATTTACTTAAATACTTGTATCTATAAAAAAGAACGTTAAACATAAAAATGTCTTTAATAAATAAATTGTCGGACTTTGTCCATTTCTTAATATATATATATATATATATATATATATATATATATGAGTGTGTGTATTTATTTTTAATTTGACATTTTTATTATTTCAAACATTATTATTATAGTGGATACTCATATTTCAAATACATGCCTCATTTTATTTTTACTTTAAACAGTGTGTATCACATCTATCAATATGCGTATTTGAGATATCCTAATAAAAAGAAAATGTGATCTGAGGAAGAGATCAAACCTGTGACCCCCTCTGTAAGAGAAACTACCATTTAAGCTGGTGTGTTTTACCACTCGGCTACAAAGAGTGTCAAAGTTCAGCAAGGCCATATCTTCCCTTTTAAGATTGATGGGTTTGTTTAATGGTGTGTAAATGCTTTATGGATCATTTAATGCTGAAATTTAATTTTCTTGGGAGCTTTGAAATAACAGAATTATGATAGATGTTATTCTATCATATTTTGCATTTGGATGCTGACTGACTACTAGCAGTAGATCATTGAGAATAATGGTCATTATTTTGAATAATGAATTTTGGTGTTGCTCCATAAAATTTTATTCTTTTCTTTTTGCTTCCTAAGTGAGTCAAGACTTTCTGGCCCACTTAATATCACCTCCATTCATCTTGTAAGAGCTTCATTATATGACCTCTGGTTATCTTGTAAGATGACCTCTGGTTATCTTGTAAGATGACCTCTGGTTATCTTGTAAGATGACCTCTGGTTATCTTGTAAGATGACCTCTGGTTATCTTGTAAGATGACCTCTGGTTATCTTGTAAGATGACCTTTTGTTATCTTAAATAAGATGACCTCTGGTTATCTTTGGTAAGATGAATTCTGGTTATTTTTAAGATGACCTCTGGTTTGATTGAAAAGAGTTTCATTTTTTCCATTCCTCCTGAAAGAGCTTCATTGCGCGACTTCCATTCCTCCTGAAAGAGCTTTATTATATGAAGTCTATTATATGTCGTTATTCTAAGAGAATAACTCTGAATTCAAAACTGTATATAGGCCTGGCATATCACATACTATACAGCTAAAAAAAAAAAAAAAAAAAAAAAAGATTGTTCACATTGGCTCAATGATGCCAACTACTGTTGATCTGGATGGATTTAAGAGAAAGTTTTTATAATTTTATCTAACAGTATTAGTTGCTCCTCAGTCAATGAATGCCAAATATTTCCTTATAAATGATTCCAATTACGATTCATCTTGTATGACCATTAAAAGACTTCCATCTTTTATAACCTTTATTATAGGAGAATATGATACATAAATTCTATATATCAGACTAAAACGGCACCTCAATGTGGTGCAATGATTAACAAGCTTATCTTGCCAGATCAATAATGACTGAGTAGTGAGTTTGATCCTCATTGGGTGCTCCATACTTTCAGCCTTGTATCACATCTAGGCTATGCTCAGTAAATCATTGGGCACTTTGGCATGGTGTAATGGTTAGCAAGCTTGTCTCATTAGATCAATAATAACTGATTAATGAGTTCAATCCTTACTGGGTGCTCCTTACTTTCAGCCTTGTGCCACATCTAGGCTCCACTTAGTAAATTACTGAGCACTTTTGCATGGTGTAATGGTTAACAAGCTTTTCTCACTAGATCAATTACAACTGAGTAGTGAGTTTGATCCTCACTGGGTGCTCTGATTTTGCTCTTATGCTTAGAAAATTCCCATATTAGACTAAAAAGAGTTATTCAAATGACAAAATAGAAAAAAATATCTTATACAGGATATCATCAATCAAAACCTTATTTAAGCTGAAGAAGTCTTTTTTAAAGATGAAACATGGTACATGGGATTTTCCCATCCTGTCCTTCAATTAAAATTTTTGATTATATAACCTTTCTTTTGTGTGTCCTCTAATGATATGACCTATATTCATCTTGTATGACATTCATGATGACAAATAGTTAAAGAGAAAAGAACAGAAATATAATGCAATAGTCATTGTAGTGATGATAAACGTGTTCAATTTAAAAATATCTTGTTTTTAATTTGTTTTTCTTTTGCTGAGAAAAGATAGGCTGAGGCACTGCACCAAATTCTCAGACAACTTGAATTCTTCTCATAAAGACAACCGTCAGAACTTAACTTTTCCCACATGGGTCATTGGTTGCAAGAATAAATATAACAATTGCTTAAATAAAAGTGGAAACGACAAGATTGAAAGAAGGATTTAGGTCAACAGAAAACAAACTAAAAAACAAAACAAAATAACTTTAGGCTTGTTCATCTATCTGCTGTGTCCCTTCAGGATGTGGGCGATCATGGTTCTCCATAACTTCCTCCCCTTTGTAATTTCAATATTTTTCTCCTTACAATCCTACCCAGTTCAGCCATTCATTTAAATAAACTAATGAGACAGATAACTGTTTCCCTCTTATTTTCAATGTCTTGTGTGTTTAAAATTTTTCAAACCATCTTTTTTCATTACCTGTCTCAGAAATTTCAACTGTTTCTTTCAGATTCTAAGTGTAAGTGTCCTTTTTTGCATTCATTCTCCTTAAATGTTCCTCGTTGTTCACATGCTCTGTTCATGGTATTCTCAGTATCCTTCTGTAAAGCCATGTCTCAAGTTTCCTCTTCATCAATGAGGAAATTATCCAGCATTCGATGTCATATAGGAAGGTTACACTGCAGTTCATTATATTTTTCTTTGTTCCTAATGGAGTTTTTTATTATATATATATATATATATATATATATATATATATATATTATATTTGATTGATTGTGACCCTGGGTTTCATGCTTTTGCTATTCAAACAAGCTGCAAAAGCATGAAATGTATATTTTTAAGATCATATCAATCTAACCAAATATGTTAGCTCTATCTCTGATATTGAGCACTTTCTAGTAAGTACCACACATGTAATATATATATATATATATATATGAATGATAAAACTGATATATATATATATATATATTTATATACACATTTTTTATTAATAACATATATATATATATATATATATATAAAAATATGATATATATATATATATATATATATATATAAATATCATTTTAATGTTGGTTCACTGTGCTGTGAGAGACAATTTTTCTCTCCAGAATATATCTTACATATTTATAAGTCTACCATTCATCCATGCTTTGAATATTGTTGCCATATATGGTCTGGTGTTCCTGCTATATGTTTAGAGATCCTTTATAAAAATCCAAAGAGGAATCAGCAATATCATTAGTCCTGACCTGGCATCTCACCTACTTTCATGGTAATTGTTCAGATGAACATTTTGCTATGGTACCTAGACTTGATGAATTTAAGCAAATTGGCAGAAATATCTCATCAATTCACAACTGAATTGGCTAGATGTAACCGTAACTTCTAACAGTTTTTTTTCACACATTTCTCAGTTGGTTTTATTTTGGGCAGCTTTTTATTACTGAAGTCTGAAACTGAACTTTATATCCCTTGGACATAAAATTTTTTTTGGATGACATTATTTTATTATGGTTTCATTGCTCAATATTTGATTAGCCCAAAATCCAGTCTCCTTGATTTTGTTAATATTTCCATGTTTATTGCTATCATCTTCACAACATTAGCTACTTATAAAAAGAATGAAAGCAACTATGAAAAACATGCTTGCAGCTAATCAATATTTAATTATCCAACAATCAAGTCTCTTTGATTTTGTTAATATTTCTATGTTTATTGTCATCATCTTCACACAGAGGGAAAGGATGGAAGCAAGTACAAGAAATATGCTTGTAGCTAATCACGCCAGGTACACATTCAACCTAACAGAAAGGACATGGTACAAAGAAGAAGACAGAATTTGTCCAACAACTGCAGAAAAGCAAATGTACTGACCTTGCTCAAGCCCTTTGCGAAGTTCTATAAGGCTGTGGAAGGACAGAGATGCTACGTGGGGTTTGCCCCATCTTTCAGCCCCTTCTTCTAGATCCTCTTCAAACTTAATCCATCGTGCCTTTTCCCTCCATTCCCAATCCCAGTCATTCTGGTCACCAACGTGGAGTTCATCTAATTCGACGAATAACTGAAATATGGAAAAGAGAAAGAGATAAGCATGAAACATTTTAAAAGCATATAATAATGAAACAAAATGGAGACACTAGGTGATGGCTTCAATGCCCACTTTTATATTTACATATGCTCTATACCTTATATTGAGCACTTAGCATGACTTAAAACTATATTTTTATCATATTGATATATATATATCATATTAATATATGTAACTATATTAAAAGCAAGTGGTGGGGAAAGAAGTGCAAAGATAAGTTGTGAATTGTAAAATAAAGCAAAAATAAAAAGGGTTAACTGGTTGTTGCTCCTCATACTTCAAAGCTCAATCAAGGACAAAACATAAATATGTGTACAATGACTAAAATCAAATATAAGCATAACAAACTTATATAAAATGATTCACTGTCAGGTAACCTTAAAATGTTCACTAAATTGAAAAAAGAAAACTCTGCATTTTAGTCAGCAAAACTGGGAACAGAAAAAAAAAAACAAAAAAAACAAGATAGTAGAGTGTGTTCAGATCAGTCGCAAAGCAACATCATTTGGATTATTATGACAGAGCAGCCAGAAGAAAATAACTTCTTAATTCAGTTAACATTCTACAGAAAATACATACATATAGAATTTATTAATACAGATTTTTATTAATCCAACTGCTTTGTATCACTTAAAACATTATTATTAGTGGATACTTGAATTTGAATAGATTTAAAAGTATATTTATTTATATTCATCTACCAGCATGAAATATTTAAACATTTTATGAAAGAAAAATTTGCAGTCTTCAGCAAGAACTGAACCTACATCCCTCAGGGTAGAGAAAGCCACTGTTTAGTCCAATGTGACTATACCACTTTCTATATAAACCACAGGTTTGCTCTGTAATGTGCCTGAGCGTGAGTCTGCAATAGGGATTGACTAGCCACTCTTGTAGATGGATATCCTTGAAATAAAACTTGCTTTAGCTACTTTATATATATATATATATATATATATATATATATATATATATGACATCTGATAATAAGTTCAATAGATTTATCAAACATCTGGCTCTGATAGCATTTCAATGAAACATTTTTTTTAAGTCAGTCAACCAAATAAAACACTTGAATTTTGGATTTATAGTTCCAGTTCTACTGGCCTAAAAAAACATTAAATTCTTGTCATTTTAATATTTTCCAAAGTTGTATTATTGTGTATATAAACATAGTTAACATTGTATGATTGGATCAAGTGTTCATTATCTTCTCTCAACCATTCTCATATAACAAATGATGATAGTGAGTGCAGGAAAAAGTTGGTACATGCCTTTCCCAAAGTTATTAACAGCTAAATGAACATGAGTAACTTCAGCTGAAATTACCTACTTTTGTCTGGATGTTTCATATCATTGATCATAATATTTTTTTTTTTTTAAATCGGTTTTCCCTATGCAAGGTAGTAAAGCCACTAAGACACAAGGGATTACTGGGTGTGGAAGAAGTTGGAACAGAAATATTAATAATGAGCAGGAAGAGAAAAGAATAATCAAGAGGACAATAAATTTTTGTAGATTAAAATTGGCTGGAAAGCATGGAGCCAGAAGCGAGTTCCACAAGTGAGAAGTGTGAGAAAAGAATCTGTTAGCATAGACTTTATGGTTTGAGAAAGGTTCATGTTCTCACCTCATGTGGACTGTGATCAAACTTTTTCTTTGGTTTCAACAGTTTCCTCTTCAGCTTCTCTGTTTTACTGATGTGAACAACAGACGCTACTGCACTGTGTTTGGCAATCTTGTGTCTCCGGATACCCCTCACATCTCCCCAACGATGACCTGAAAGAAAGTAGCAAAAAAGGAATGACACAAAGAACTTGCAAATCTCAAAGGACTTTGAAAGGGAATTTAGACAAGTATCCTCATCCTTGTTTTGCACATTATATAGACATCCATAAACAAATACCAAAGATTCTTGCCAATAGATATAACATACCATACCTGTACTTTTTCTATAAATATTTTCATAGAAATTGTTCTAATAAGCTTTCCTCTATTGGTATCTCAACTTCCTGAATTAAGCATAGGATTAGATTGTCAATTAGGTCTCATCATTTTTGATACATATATATATATAAGTTCTTTATAATTGAATACGTCTGGCCTTTTTTTTTCTCTCTTTCGATTCACTTCCCTCTCCCTCTTTGCCATAAAACTCATTTGGATACGTCTCCTTTTTTCCATATTTTTCTCCTCTTTCCTTTTACTTTATTTCCTTTCCTCACTATTCCTAAAACATTTCCGTTTTCTTTAACCATATAAATAGGTCAAGGTTGGGTCATCTCCTCTACCCCAATATAAAGCTTATTTAAGAGAGATGTAAATTTAACCTGGTTATATTTTGTATTGTCTCAACGTTTCGGCCACCTTCACCCCCCTGTTTAATTACAAAATTACACTACCCATCAATTTCTAATCACATTTTTTTTCTCATTTCATTGTTGGAAGTGTTTACCTGATGATCCTGAAATCCTTTAAAAGGATTTTGGTGAAATAAATTATTGTAATGGGTACCTTAAAGTGGTCTGTATTTCATTAAATATTAGCTCTGTTCTTCACATTGAGCTCTCAGAATTTCATCCTCCTTGGATTTACCAATTCTGTTTACAAAGTTTTTTTATAACTTAAATATATATATATATATATATATATATATATATATATATATAAAACATTTATATATATATATATATATATATATATATATATTTATTAAAGACATTTTTTATGTTTAACGTTCTTTTTTTATAGATACAAGTATTTAAGTAAATGCTCTGTTTATAATAAACAGTATTAAATAACATTTACCGGCCTGAATGTCTGAGAAATTTTCATAGAAAATATTCGTCCTTTGACAGGATTTGAAACTGCATCCTATAATGGAACCGTCATTTACGCTTGACGTGCCTTACCGTCCAAATGCCACAAAGGAGCGTTCGGTAGACAAGGTTGAATTTACTGCTTATAAACTTCAATCTTCCATGAATCTCGTAGATTCATAACTGCTCTGGCGTATCAAATGTAAACAAATGACGTCACATATTAAGAAATGGACAAAGTCCGACAATTTATTTATTAAAGACATTTTTAGGTTTAACGTTCTTTTTTATAGATACAAGTATTTAAGTAAATGCTTTGTTTATAATAAACAGTATTAAATAACATTTACCGGCCTGAATGTCCGAGAAATTTTCATAGAAAATATTTGTCCTATGAAAATTTCTCGGACATTCAGGCTGGTAAATGTTATTTAATACTGTTTATTATATCTTTTCACAAAATAAAAAAAACAACCTTTCCCCTATTTCTAATATATATTCTTATGCATATGATCTTCTGTAGTATAAAATGGCTGAGGCACAATTAACAGAAAGTGACATTGAAATATTTTTCGCAGCAAAACCTGCATCATGATGAACTGTATTTCATGTGGCCCACTCGTTAAAAATGTTGCCTATGCCTGCTTTAGACTTTTACTCATCCATTTTTTTTTATATTTTTATTCACAGTCCACTTCCGCTTGGCTTTTTTTTTCTTTTTCTTTAAAGATACACACTTTAGACTTTTACAAAAGATGGCCATACTTACTCGCCATCTGATCCAAGTCGGATTTTTGCAATGTTAGTGCTTCTTCCGACTCTGTAGGAACCCGATGAAGCTTCTCGTCCAGGTCAATCTCACTACCTGCGTGTCGACGCATGAGTAAGTCTTGCATCCGGAAATGTTCATGGTGACGGTGGTGGTGGTGGTGGCTGCTGCCATGGTGGTGGCCTGGATGATGGTGATGGTGGTGGTGGTGTTTGGTATGCTTGGCCTTATGAAAAATTTGCTTTCTCGAAAATCCTTGGTACCTTTCCGGGCTGCCCTGCAAAGAGAAAATGAAAAAATTTTCTTAAAACCAATGAGAATTGTTTATTTATATATATATATATATATATATTATATATATATATATTGAAACGGAACGCTGATCTTAAAAAATTTCAGTTATCTGTTTTGATTAGTCTTACTCTTATGTCCATCGTCTTTTCATGTTGAACTGAATATAGTGTAATGTTAATTATGTTTTATGAATATGTCCTGAAGAAGGTCTACTAGACCGAAATGTCTGACGTTGACATTATATTAAATATATATATATATATATATATATATATATATTAAGTATATAATTGGTATATATATGCCTGAATGAATTCCAATAACCAACAATTACTATTCTAAAAGAGTGCTCAATACAAAGTAGAGCAGATATAATTATTATTTTTATAAAAAATTATAACATAAGTATGTTATAAAATCACTACAAAAATAGCCATTTTTGTTTCAACACACTGGCGGTGTCTTATCAAGTGATGATGTTGAAGATAAAAAAAAATCTTTTTTTTATATATATATATATATGTATATATATATTTTTAAGTAATTCATTGAGTCTAGAAGAAACCTTAACACAATGCAGCTCTTAGAAGGTTTGGGGATAGTAGTCATGGCTCATGGGGGCACAGTCCTATGGATAAGGGAAACTCGCATGAGTTCCACCATGGAATATGTGATCGAGCGGCACTATATCGGATCTAATTCGCTACCACTTCATGACTGAGGCCTGTTTGTACAGTTGGTATGACTTTTGTCTGATAATGTAACTGTCCAGGTTTCAATTTTCGGCAGTGGATGTGCACTGCTGATGAGTCCTAAATGTAGAATGAAATGGCCATCCAGTGTTTTCTGCATTCTGTTAATATTTTTTTATATATATATATATATATATATATATATATACTATTAACGGTTCACCCTGAAGATTCATTTAATTGAAACCTAGGTACCAATTCCTGTCTTTTTAGGAATTATTTTATATATATATATATATATATATATATATATATATATACATACTATATATTTATAACAGAAAATTGAATTACAGTTCATTTTTGAATAACTCCCAGAATTAATGGGACAAACTTGACAGAAGAGTGAAAAAAAAAAAAAAAAAAAGTAAAAGAGCTCTTAGAATCAATGAAAAAGAATGGAATCAATTATCAAACTTATTTATTTGAGAAACTTTAATATTTTTAGTATCACCTGGCATTTATTTACATTGGTTGATAAACTTAAAAGTTAAATTTTATATACCCAATAAATAATTTTAGAAAAAAAAAAATCTAAAATGTAATTCTTAAGAATTTTTCAACAACACTTATAGAAATATATTTTTATACATATTTTTATATTGCATTTGCAGGATGGTATAAATTAAAATAGAGCCATGAAATTCACAATCCCATGAATCTGGAAGGAACCAACTGATTACTAAAGCAGTTGACATCAAGACTCAAGCAGCAGAATTTGGTAGATGAAAGAGTGCAAGTCGCAGGTCAGGGAAAGCGTCACCAGTGTTTTTCAAGTTTTTTCACCTGTCGAGATGAGCTTTGCTTCTGCCACAATGTGACTGGTTTGTTCTAGGCAACTGGAATCGTCTGTAACTCTGGCATGTGGTGGTTCTTTATTGAAAGCTCATCCAAGAGTCTCAAAGTCATGCTGTTTCATAATGGGAACATGTATCTGTTTCTTCCCTGGCTCTGAAATGTGCAGCTCAAAGAGCGTCAACTTTAATGCTACTGCTTGACTATGATATTCCGACATAAAAGAAAAAATTCCATAATGGATAATTCTTTCATGTTCTAATGAATGCTAAAGCATAACTGTCAGCTGTAGCATTTAAATGCAAAAAGAAAAAAATTCAGTAATGGATAGATAAACATAGTTTTTACTTTACCAGTTGCACCCTTGATGATAATCTCAGAAAGAGATGGAAAGTACTTGAGAAATAAAAGTGATTTTCATTGTTACGGTGCATTTCTTGCCTCATTTGATTGTAATACATGGAAAAATATTCATAAATATGAAAGGATCATGTTAAAAATAAGCAGACATAATGTTTGTAATTTATTTAATCAGACATGCCTAAAAGAGAATTGCCTAAATATACAAGGGTTATCATTGGAGATGAGAAAACAAACTACACTTTTGTCCTTTTATCATTTCTATGTGCCTTCATATTACTGTCACATTTTCAGACATTTGCTAGAGCAGAGGTCAGATATTTTAATTTTTGTATCTGCTGATTACTTTATTACAATGAGTAAACTAGTCGCTGCATTAAAAACTGTAAGGATCTAACAATAAGTTAGTTTAAGACTAAAATCTGTTTATCTCCGAGCATTTTAAACATCAGATTATTAGAAGTCAACATTTGTCAGTTAAGACTTCTTATTGAGAGGGCAAGAAACAGAGAGAGAGAAATTTTGCCCACATCTTGACTTGCGTGCTGATCGTGTTTGGTATTTGAGAGATGTTGCTAATCTTCAAGATATAGCCAGCATGGAACTGTCAAAGATCATTTATGAATTTTCACTAAATTCACTTGACTCCAAAATCTTAGATTCAGAATCCAACAAGTTAGATTGATGCTAAACATTCCATATGCCTTCGCCTGAAGGATCAGTCTCTATTATAGCCCATCCTGGATAATACATTAAATTACATCCACATCGTAGGTAAGACATTAAACTACATCCGCGTCCTGGGTAAGACAATAAACTACGCCCAGCAGCAAGGCCTCTGATCAGGAGGTTTTGAGGAGCGTAAACCACCTCTTAATTGCTGGTGTTTCCAGGTCCACCCTGACCCAGGGTGGTAGCAGCTGTTAGGGTCCCAGCTATGGGCAAATAGTTAACTATTACCAGCAATACTTTTTTGAAAAAAATTATTACCAGCAATACAATTCTGAAGGAAAGATATTACCAGAAACCAATTTTTGACAAAACAAAATATTACTAGCAATGAAAATTTTGTCAGCATTAAATAGCCCATTGAGGTGTTGATATGCCGTAAAACAAAATAAACCAAACCAAATCAAATCTCCATTATAGCATGTTGGATCTATTGATCTATTACAGTTTGTTTCAAGGAAACCTGTTTGTTTGGTTGATTGTTTTTGTTTAGTGGCATATCAACACCTCTATGGGTCATTTGATGCTGAAATCTAAATATCTGGTCATTTTATAATAAAAATGTACTTTTATACTTGAGTACTGTATTGATCGTCATTTTACCATAAAAATTTGTTACTATTGGTCATTTTCTTTTATAAATATATTGTTATATATTATATTTTTTACCATAATGTATTTTTGTACTTCATGGACCGCCAAACAAAAATCAAAAGACTATTTGCCCATAGCTGGGAACCTAACAGGTGCTACCACTCCAGGTCAGGGTGGACCTTGGAAGAAAAGCAATTAAGAGGTGGTTCCACACTCCTCAAAACCCCTTGATCAGAGACCTTGCTGTTGGGTGTAGTTTATTGTCATACCTAGCATTACCTGTTTGTTTATTTAGTGGCACATCAACTTCTTATGGGTCATTTAATGCTGAAATTTAATTTTCTTGGGAGCATTAGTAATTTCATTTACAAAAATATATTGCTGGTAATTTTTTTTTTTTATTATGAACAGGTATTGCTGATATTTTTACTATAAAAACGTTTTTTTTTTTTTTCATTTTTTTCACCCCAGCTTAGGGGTGAACTATTTGCCCATGGTTGTAGTTAATCATCATACCCAGGATGAACTTGTTTGGTAGCTGGAATAGTAGCAAGTTTTCACCAATGCAGATTCTCATTTAAAATCTTTTCCAGAATAGTATAAAGAAAATAATTTTTTTCTGAGTGAATTTCTGTGTTGATTGATTTGATTTGTTTTTTATGATTTATCAACCTTTTGCAGGTTATTTTAACCCCAAAATTATTTTATGGGGTGTATCATCAGTCATAGTGCCTTTACAGTGAAGCCATCAACCCTGCTTTACAAAGGTGAATTGGGATGCAGAACTGTACTGGTCCTTTGTCAACATCCAACTCTCAGACATGGCTTCAAGAAGTTGTATGGGCACTGCAATGGCAGCACCCTACTGACCAAACTGTGTTAGGATAGTTGGAAGGATTTCCCAACCTGACCTGTGAAAAAGAATGCCTCTCTCTGATCTACCTTTGCCAAGCAGTCATTGGACAGTCACCAGCTTGGACATAGGAGATGTGCCTCAGAGGTAAACAGTGGGTGGAAGAACTTTTGAGGAAAGGGGCAGGGTGACCTCAACATCATAGTGTAAAAGGAGCCAGCAAGCCATTGCATTATTTTGCCTTGAATGTCACCATGAACCACAAGTGAATAAATGATGATGATGAAGAAATTTTTTGGAGATAATAATGACTTACTAATACAAGTTCTACTAACCCATCTAAAAATTAATCCATAGTTAGGGGGAGAAGAGTTGGATTCATACCTTTCCCAAGGGTATTAGTACATAAGTGAATATAAAGAATCCAGCAGGAATTGGAACTTGGTTCTCTGATTTCCAATTACAAGCAATTATCCATTACACCACCTGCACATCCAAGCTTATAGCACCTGTTATTCCCAAGATGCCAACCAAATAGGTGCTGACCAGGCTCAATGTTGATGATTGTACAAGAATTTTGAACTGAATCCTTTATTTAGTCAACATCCACTCTGTTCCTATTAAGTCCTAGTCTCAATTTCCCAGCCCAGGGATTCAACTCACAATTACTATGTCAACAAATCCATAAACCAATGCTTTTATCCAGCAGGCTATTGTCCTATGAGACAATCTCAAGTATAGAAATACATTCAAGGTTGAAAACTTAATCTGCCTGCTGCTTGTCATGCTTGATAGCATTCAATAAACTTCTTTTTTCTACTTCTGCTTTTTTTATATAGACTATTTTTTTTATATAGACTTTTTATATAGAGGATTTTTTTATATAGACTATTTTTTTTTTATATAGATTTTAAAAGCTTTTTTTCATATGCACTTAAATAATATGATAATATTAATAATATCAGTGGCCAGGGTGTCAATTTGCTTGATACCAACTGGGCCCCTGCTCAAGTGGGACCCCTATATCAAATAAAAATGCAATAAAGAAACATGCACAGACAACTGCTTTAGTAATAAAATGGAATAAGAACTTTATAAAGTCATCTGCACATTATCAGTTAACCAAGTTCAATATAAGAGGACATTTTCAATGTGAAAGATCATAAAAACAAGGTTAAGAAATTTACTGAGGAGAATTTGGAATCATACATGTTGCTATCCACTGAAAAGGAATTCTTAGATGAATTGGATTTAGACGCTATTACTGACAGATTCATACAATCATCTAGTGAACACAAATGATTGCTCTTAATATAGTGAATTGCATGCAACACTTTATTGTACTGTTGAACTATCTGTTAATATATAAATTGTGCAGTAAATTAGAAATATCAACCAATTAAATGACCTTAAAATTAAAAATTATAACGTTTTGCATTTACATTTGGTATCTACTACCAGCAATAATTACAGTACATGTACGCTGTAATTACTAATAAATACATTTTTTTCATATGTATTTTTGAAAAATGTTATTTATTCATTATGAAAATTAAATGATAGTATTATAGTTGTTTTGTGAGCTCCCTTTGTCCCCTGGCAACCAATATTTTTAGACCCAGTCCACTACTGAATAATATGGAGTCCTAGCTTTTCAATGTGTATAAAAACAAGCTTTGGAGTAAAGATCTTTTTAAAAGAAAAAAAAAATACTTTTATATGTCCTAATATATGAGAATAATAATATTATTAATAATAATGATATTTAGCTTAACCCCCCCCCCAACGAGGGTTACATATGGCACAAGGCCAGATTTAACGTGGGATTTCCAAGCCTGTAGGCTCGGCTAAAAATATTCCTTCTTTGAACCCGCATAAACGGGTCAGTCAACCACCCTGAAAGAGCCTCATCCAAGTTCCTCTCCACTCGAAAGCAGAGAGTTAGACTGTTGGCCCCGGAGCCATACCCCAGAGTCAATACTAATACAAACATTCACAACTGTCAGTAGCTGAGAATCAGCAAGTAAAGTTTATGTAGGATATGCCTACTTTGATTGACAAGCGCGTGGAGAGCAATCGCCCTGATATAACATTGTGCACATGAACAGCCATGATTGGATCCTGATAGATATAGTGGTACCTTGGGAACATCATTATGGTAGAGTAGGCAAAAATATATCAGTCCTAAGATCTGGCAAAGCAAATCAGAGTAGTACGTTTTTGCGACTGCTCAGGGGTACAAATGAAAAGTTTCAAATAGCACTGCTACCTGCACATTCCCACTGATTTTAGTTTGTGTTTTTTTTTTTAATTGTTATCACCCCAAGCAAGGCAGCACAGTCACTAAAGGGTTACAGGGTGTGGAGGAAACAGAAACAGTAAGGAGTAGAAAAGATTTGAAATTGACAATTATTTCCATTTCACTGGAACAGACATTGAATACTTCTATCTTCTATTCTTTCTTTTCTCTTTCATTTTCTCACTGAAACCAAGTAGTGTTTTTGACATATCTTTTGTCTTCCCATGCAGTCAAAATGGAATGGTCCATTATTTATATGGTATTAGGAAGATATTTTAAACACTTCTATCTTTCTTTCACTGTAACCAAGTATCATCTCTGATATATCGTTTTTTGTTCCATGCGATTGAAATGGAATAGTCCATTATTTATATGGTATCGGGAGGACATGACAGTCATGCAAACTAAGGAACTAATGAAGGGAGGCACAAGCAAAATTATTATATAATAATAATAATAATCTATGTAAAATGTGCATGCATTTTTTTTTCCACAGATGTGCAAGGGAAATGTCATTGTGCCATTTTACATTTCTGACCTTAGGTCTCTGGTGTGGACCCGTGAGGAAATGAATCTACAACAGAAATCAAAGGAAACAATGACAATTATGAAAACATGTAAAACCTACAACTCTACACATTAACAATATTATTACCATTATATATTATAGTGTATCAAAAGTATTTTCATTTTTTTTTTTACAGACTTTTAATTCAAAGCCAATTTGATCGACACAATTGAAGATTTTCTGATGAAATTCTGGGATGAGGAATTATTATTTACAATATTTATATTTGGACTAATTTTTTGTTGTTGTCACAATGTTCCGGCTGTTGTGCTCTCCAATCTTCCTCAAGAGTATGTCGATTTGTATGTGGAATGAGAATAATCTACCCCCATAAATTACATAAGGGTTCTGTTCAGAATTCCCTGTAGGGAAGTCAGAATATAAATAGTGTGAACAATTGAAGATTATCATGACTCTCTCTCTCTATATATATATATATATATATATATATATATATATATATATATATATATATATATCCAAATGAAAGAAAAACAAATGAACTAAAATTATTATACAGTTCATAGTATTTACTTTTAAAAAAGTTCTCAATACACCTAATGTCTGCGTCTGAATCCTGAAATTTTATTCTATGTCTTTATTTTGTTTAATTATTTTTTTTCTCTCTTCCCTCAACTGGAGTTGATAGGTTCACCTATCATCCAGTTCAAACTCCTCCCCATTTTTTTTTGAACAGGAGTAGAGGTTTATCCCTTGTTTCCTGTTTAGGATTGGGCTTCTTCTAAAGTCTACTTCAGCTCTATACTCTTAACATTTGTCTTTTCCTATGCTAATATAACTACACACAGTAACCCTCTACATTGAGTGACTCTTGGGATTTGTATTGGGTGAACATTAGTAAAATCAACAAAACAAAAAACCTGCCTTATGTTCACATTGTCAAATCATATGCTTTTCTTTTCGTATTCCATTTGTAAGGAGGAAGTTCTATTCAGTTTCTTCTAGAGAACTGCTACTTTGTAGAACTGACTCCTGATAAGCTGCTTCCCTGAATATTAATCCCTTCAAGTTTTGGGTCACTTATTATCTATCCAAATAATCTGCACTTATGTCCATAAAACAACCTTATACAGTAACCCTCTACCTTGAGTGGCACTTGGGTATTGTATTTGGTAAACAGTAGTCTAGGGTTCTGAAAATATTCCTTCAAGATGTTGTCATTTTGGCAGTCTATCAATTGAAGATCATTTGATACTCTTTCTACATTTGTTGGAGTATACACAGACCCTTTTCATGTCTAGGATCAACCATTATCTACTTTAAACAACCTCATTCAGTAACCCTTCTACACTTACATAATTCCATCAACAAAAACATTACTTTAGTTTGACGAAGTCCTTCTGGAGGTTGAAATGTGTTACACTGAATTTTTTTTCCCACCTTGTCATTTATTTTCCTAATGTCTAAATGCACGTAAATATTTTAAGAATCTCTTACCGTGAAGGCGATGGAGAATGTGACCGTTTCTTCAGACTTTCTTTTTCAAGTTCTTCTTCTTTTCTTTTCACCCACACATCAACATCATGGGTGGATTCTTCAGCACCTAAAGTGGAATCAAAAGAAGTCTTTAATTCTGACTTATAGATATATCACACCTGTTAACAGAGACTGGACTATTTAAATAATGTCAGATTACAAGGAAAAAGTGAACATGAAATCCAGAGGAGTCTTTTAAATCCCAAACTTATATAATTTTTTTTTAACACACTCTCTCTCTCTCTTTATTTTATATTATATATATATATATATATATATATATATATATATATATATATAGAGAGAGAGAGAGAGAGAAGTAATCAGAGGAATCTTTTTAAATCCCAAACTTATCTAATTTTAATATTACCTCTCTCTCTCTCTCTGTGTATACATATATATATATATATATATATATATATATATATGTTTAATGACCATGAAAAAACAAAATTTGTATTTATTACCACTCATGATAATAATTAAAAGGTAAAACTGAAAAACGGGCTAGCTAACTGGTTTCAAACCTTGCTCAACAGAGCTAAATTGAGGTTAATAAATACAGGTAATAAAAAGAGATAGACAATATGTTTTGGTGTGGGGGGGGGACTTAAATAGAAATTAGTTGGAGGCCCAGTATGAAATCCTTCTGTTTGTACAGTGAAGGTCTCAAGGACAAAATATAAATGGCCTCCAGCATTTTTAAGTGGTAAATCGAGTGGGACTTGCTAAGAATAGCAAATGAGTCTACACTGAAATTAGCAGCTCAATTATGGCTATTTATTAGGTGATCCATGATGGGAGACCCATATGTGCTGGTCAGAATGTCTGAAAAGAGAATATTTAAGATTGTGGATCCTTGTTGGCATGTGCTGCTTTATTCTTGCATCTAGTCTTTGAGTTGTTCTCCCGATGTAGTTTGAGCCACAACTACATTTAAATCAAAGAACTATTATGATGTGGAAGAAGAATGTCTTTCCACATGGATTGAAGGACAGGCTTGGCAGAAAAAAACTACATGAGTGTTAGCAGCAAAGTAACAATGTCGAACTGCTAAAGAAACCTGTTTAGCATATCTATCACTAATACTACCCACCCAAGGAAGGCATAGGTACACAGGACATCTTTGTACTATAGCCAGTTTAACTTTATTGAATTCCAAAATTTTGTTCTTAATTACTGATTGAACAATGCCCAACAGATAGGCATTATTATAGAGAGTAGTGGTAATAAACTTGTGTTCATCATCCAACTTTATTTTAGAGCAGATCATTAAGGCCCTATGAGTAAGGGTCTTAATTAAATTGATTTTACATTTTACGGGACAAAAAGAGTCCCAGTGGGTAGACAAACCAGTAGATGTCAGTTTTCGATAAACAGAAGAAAGCAAGAAATATATATATATTTATTGTCATAAATCAATTACCTATATTAGACATACCACTACCTCCTTGAGTACATACCTCATGTCCCAATTCTCTGATCAAAGTGCTATAGAAAGGCACTTAGCCATCCACAATTTACAAGAACCCCTAAGGAAGATTTAGGTTGAAAATATGTGTATTTTATTTAAATCACATTACTGAAAACATCTTGCTGTGGTGAGGACCTATGTATATAAAACATCTTGCATCCAACATAAATCTCACCTTATTCATCAGGGGAAATGATGTGTTGAAGATATTTTAAAAAATAGGAAGATGCCCTCTTGGATTTCAGCTACACTCAACTTGTGAAGCTTGGAATAAATGCTCCTTTGATCATTCAAAACAGCACACACACACACACACACACACAAAAATACAACAGTCAAACCTGAAAAGAAATTAACAACACCTAAAAACAAACCCCCTTAAAAATGGCTAACGTGGTTGAAAGAGATTGGGACAATGAATATGGACAAATTCATGCAGACATATAAAAACAACCCTCTCCTCCTCCCCCACTCCAAATCCATAAAGTAATAAAACAACATATCCAAATAAGAAACAAAGTAAAAACAAAATGCTTGTAAAATCTAGAGTAGTAAGCAAGTGTACCTAATTGAAAGTTGACCTTCAGCAAGGGCTGACTGCTCACCAGATCATCCACACTTCCCTCCACAGACATTGTGCGATGAGCTGCCTGCTCCGAGGGCCGAGGCGTCTCATCCATTTCAAACATAGATGTTGGCTCGGGTGATCCGGATGCTTGACGTCGAAACTTTTGTGCGGCAACTGATCTGGATGACACATGGGAATCAGTGGAAGGTTGTCGCATCAACAGGGGTGACCCTTCCGACTCAGCTTGCAAGGAAGCCACTTCTCCTCCACGATCTCCTTCTCCAATGTAAAAGCCAACTTGTAGTTCAGGAATGTCTGTTGAAGAACCCTGAATGTCAGCACTGTACATGCTGGAAGCCATGTCGAAGTCAGCGTCATCAGAATCAATATCCTGCAAAAATTTCAATTAAAAAAAAATCCTTTAAAATAATCTAAACTGGAAAACATTTTAAAAGTTTGTTTTTATAACTGATAACCATTGAAAACATTAAAAAATGAAAAAATGATTAAAAATGACTTTTTGCCTAGAGACTCACCACCATGTCCCTGACAACCTTTACTATGGATCCAATAGCATATCCCCAACATGCATTGTGTCCTGGGTAAGACAATAAACTACACCTGGCAGCAAGGCCTCTGATCAGGAGGTTTTGAGGAGTGTGGAACCACCTCTTAATTAGTGGTGTTCCAAGGTCCTCCTTAACTTGGGGTGATAGCACCTGTTAGGGTCTCAGCCATGGGCAACTAGTTAATCCCTAAACTGTGGCCAAAACACCATGAAAATGTAAAAATAGGTTTTTATAGTAAAAATACCAGCAATACATTTTTGAAAATTAAAAAAAAAAAAAAAACATTCATACATTTTTTGGAAAAAGATATTACCAGCAATATATTTAAGTCTTGACAAAACCCCTCTTCACAAAAATACATCAATGAAACCTGATCTATAAACTGATTTCTTACAAAGAATACATATTCTATTCATATGAATATATCCTTAAAATCTTGTTGGCATTAAATAACCCATTGAGGTGTTGATATGCTGTAAAACTAAAACAAACCAAAATTTATTACAAGACCCAATATTTTCTGATTTAAACATTATTTTTAATGGATGCCAATATTTGAGTAGATGCTCTGTTTATTTTATTAAACATTATATTTATTTTTATTTACCTTCAAGAAATCTTATTATTTAAAAGCATTATTCAAGCTTTGTTTGCCCATCAGGCACTCTGTAGCTGAGAGGTCAAAGTACATCAGATATGAGGATTTCTCTCTGCTGGAGGTCACATTTGTCTAATAATATTTCTTGATTATTCAGACTGGTAGATGAAAAATAAATATACTGTTTAATAAATAAATGAAACATATACTGAAATATGGGTATCCACTAAAAATAACGTTTAATTAATGAAATGTCAGATTAATAAATTAAAAATTAATTCCTAAAAAGGCCAGTATTGAAATATCAGTTGGCATGTCAATGACAGCCTTTAAAAACCCAGTATTGAAAGACTGACCAGCAGGTCCTTGATGGTCTTTAAAACCCAGTATTGAAAGACCAACCAGCATGTTCTTGATAGTCTTTAAAATCCAATATTGAAAGACTGATCAACATGTACTTGATAGTCTTTAAAACCCAGTATTGAAAGACCAACCAGCATGTTCTTGATAGTCTTTAAAATCCAATATTGAAAGACTGATCAGCATGTCCTTGATAGTCTTTAAAACCCAATATTGAAAGACTGACCAGCATGTCCTTGATGCTCTTTCAAAGCCCAGTATTCAAAGAGTAATTAGCATGTCAATGACAGTTTTTAAAACCCAATATTGATAGACCAATTGTAATGTTCTTAATGATCTCTAAAAGAAGATACTTCCTTGATCCCAACAATTCTAACTTTGTCAACCGTTATCTTCCCCATATATCCCTATAAACTGTGTCTTACTCTATCACCCTCTAAACTGAGTCACTTTTGAGCTTTGTACAGAATAAACATCACTGTAAAAAAAAAAGGCCATTATTGAAAGACCAGTTGGCATATCAAGGGCAGCCTTTAAAACTATAGTATTGAAAGACCAACCAGCATGCCCTTAACAGTCTTTTTAAGGCCACTTAGGAAAGACCAACTGGCATGGAATTACCTACTATTCACATTACAATATTATGGAAACAAGCTAGATAGAAGTATTGTATTCTATGTTAGCTAGGTAAACATTAGTCTACGAAAGATAAAACCCAGGAAATATTTTCTTAGAGATCTTTTAGAAAAAAAAAGAAGTGTTGAATTGATTCTATATACCATTATATGATGTTTGTTCAAAAAGTATCAGGACTAGTGCTATAAAAAGAAAACTAGAAAACATATCAATTCAGCATTTAATCTCCTTTCAAGTAGTCCCCTTCTGAAGCCACATAATCCAGCATCATTTCCATTAATGGAAGCATTCCTGGAACTCCTATTTTGGGATAGAAAACAGCTGCCATGTCACATTCCATGACTTCTTGAAATCTTGTTCCTTTCATGTGGGATTTTATTTTTGGAAAAAGTTACAATGGTTAATATATAAGGAATATAGTGGCTGTTGAACCTGGGAAATGTTGTGCTTGGCCCAAATCTACTGCACAAGTCATGGTCACTGACAGAATCTCTGTGGCATGGTGAAACAATCGCATACTACACAGGTTCTTTCCAATTTTTATGTTTATACATTCTTTTTTATAGATACAAATATTTAAGTAAATGCTCTGTTTATAATAAACACGTCAGGCTATAGAACGGTTCCATATAGGATACAGGTTTGATTCCTGTTGGAGGATGCATATTTTCTATGAAAATTTCTCAGACATTCAGGCCAGTAAATTTTATTAATACTGTTTATTATAAAACAGAGCATTTACTTAAATATTTGTATCTATAAAAAAGAATGTATAAACATTAAAATGTCTTAAAATAATTGTTGAACTTTGTTCATTTCATAATATATATATAAATATATATATATATATATATATATATATATATAATGATAATACTGGTAATCAGTGTGGATATTTCCAAAAAGATATTGATCCAAGGAGACCTTTATGTCAAAGACAGAGAAATAATTAGTATTATAAAATACAAACCCTTAAAAAGCCATGAGATACACTATTTACATTATTCGGAATATTGTCCTCATCATTGTCGCCATATTTATTACAACATTTCGGCCGTTGTATATTCCAGCCTTCTTCAGGTGGTTGGAATGTTGAATTGAACCCTTTATTTCACTCACTGGGGTAGACTGTTCTAGTTCCATGTGCCATGTCTAATGGATGTCAGTTATCAGTTATCTCCTGTGAATTTCCTTCTCCAAGTTCTCCACTGCCTTAACCAGGTATTGAACTCACACTCTTTGGGTCCTGTCACTCGATCTAACTAACACCTTTTTTCCACTGTGCCATGTCTACCCAAGTGAGCAAAATAAAGGGTTCAGTTCAACATTCCAGCCACCTGAAGAAGGCCAGAGTGTACAGTGTCTGAAATGTTGTAATAAATATGGTGACAGAAAAAGACAATAGTCTGAATAAGGTAAATAGTGTACATAATACCTAATCTCAGAAATATAGACAGATGCTGAAGCCAGGAGATTATATTTCATTGATGTCAGAAAATTTAATATATATATATATATATATATATATATGTAGGGTGTCCCTAAAGACTGCACACATGGGAAATGTCATTAACTATATTTTTTTTTTACCTTAACAAATTAAACCTGGTTTTATCAAAAAAAAAAAAAAAGAAAGAAAGAAAGAATTGACTTTCTGTGGTATGCTAAAGGAGGGGGTGTACTCAATGAAAATCACAGATGCTACACACTTGATAAAGAGTGAATGTACTAAAACTGACAACAATGTGGAGTTATTGCGTCAAGTTCACGTGAATCTTCCAATGCACATCAACCTTTGCATTACAAATGATGGAAATCATATTGAATAGTTATTTGTTAATATTCCAACTCAATAAAATGTTGAAAATTTAATTTCTTGAAAATATCCATTTTTGCCATGGTATCCAGACTTTAAGGACACCCTGTATCATAAAGAAAGTTGTACTACAAGAGTGGTGCTGAAAAGGTCTTGCCCTGATCCCCTTCCTCAAATAGGTATTCTGACGTTTGATGATTAAAAGCATTGAAATACCTATTTTAGAAAATGGGTCAAACCAAGAGCATTTTCTTACCTCTTTTGTACTTAGTCAATATGTGCTTTATGTTAGATTAGAACCACAAACATTAGTTTTGAAAATTTTTCGATTTTTGTGTTTTATACCATCCTGTAGCATTTGATGCATCCCACCTCAGAAGGAAGAATTAATAACAGCAGTTTTGGAATTAATTTGAATGAGAAATAAATTTTTGGCTTCAACAATCCAAGGAATTATTTTTGCTTACCTCCTGATATTCTTCGACGTCTACTTCAGGAATGACAGGAGACTGTGCTGCAATTTTGGAAGGAAAGCTTCTTGCACCAGGAAACTTCTTTTTTGCTTTTCTTTTCATACCTTTCATGGATTTAAAAGATCGGCTGTGCATAGACTTCAGAGGGTGGTGGACATGGGGAAACGACATTCGGCGGTGATCTGAATCAGAAAAATTTAATATTTTGTAAAAAAAAAAATGAAAATACATTTAAAAATTATATATATAAATTATATATATTATATTACACACATGCACACATATAGAAAAAACTTTTTGTCTTTGATAAAAAAAAACCAGACGACATTCGTTGAAAAATGCATCCCTACCCTATCTAGACTTCACCTCTTTTTCGAACGTAACTCATAATTGATACAATAATAGCTAATAAAAATGAACATGCTACCACCCCTGTCTAAATGATTGGATTTCTCTGTATCCTTGGAAACAAAAAATTATGAATTGTATATGCTTTTAAAACTCAGTAAATTTAAAAATAAGTTATTCCAAAATTCACTTGAAAATGAAACAGAACTAATGCTTTTAATTTAATTATATAATTAAATTTGAAGTTTTTAACTTCGGTTTTTGAAACATGGTAATTCCTGTGTAGTGAAGGAACCAGATTTTTAAATCAGTTAATTTATAATATTTATGCTCTGTAAATTTACACTGAGCATTGTTTTGTAAAAATAAAAATATTAATAAGAACACCAAATTATATATCTTACTGTTCTTTCTTTTTACTATAATATATATATATATATGTATGTATGTATGTTTGCCACAAATGCAAAAAAGGAAACTATGTTAGTGAAACAGGCACAGAATTCCATCTTTGGTTCAATAACCATAAAAAATATCAAAGACAACAACAGCAATTTCCATGTTACTGCATACTTCAACTGCCTGGGCCACAGCATTGATAACATCAGATGTGTGCTTTTAGCATTTTCATTTAAGAGACAAGAAGAAAGACATAAACTGGAGTTAAAACACATTTTTCAAAATAAAATCCCATATTAAAGGAATAAACAGGGATTTAGGCCTACTCAGGGAATACCATTTCCACAGAGCGTCATTTACAAACCTTCCACAAACTACAGTAATACAACAGATGAAGGAGAAAAAGAAACAACTAAATTCCCTGGAAGAGTGAGTCCTACTTCTTTGTTTATTTCTTGTCTTGCTGAAAAAGGACATAGATGTGTCAAAAAATTATGACTTTAAAATCTTACTCTTTATGTTTCGGTTTAGTCAAGGGGCCTACTGATATATATCATTAGTCTTACTGACAATATTTTTATCATTTTGTTGTTTTTTATTCCTTGAATTTCATTAACTGGCCTATTACATCCACACATTATAAGAAGTACACATGAACCATCTTTTGTTTTAATCATATATATATATATATATATATATATAAATAAATAGATTTTTTTAATCCACTCTCTTGACCCAGAAGAGCACTACCCCCTCAAGGTACTTGATGTCAGCCTTCATGTTGAGTCTGAGGCCCTCACCAACAAATTTGGGAGTTCTTTACTTATAAGAATGATCAGAGTGAGTTTTATGAGTTGTTGTATCTTCGTAATCTCTGTTAGAGTTGTCCAACTCTCTCTAAATTGTCTGTACTGTCCCCAGATTGACACCCAAACACTGTGAAATGTTCATATTGGAGATTCCAGCATGAATACCAAGCAGCGCAGCATGACATTTCCAAATTTCTGGCAGAGTGAATTGCATCATGGTGCTCTTTTTCTCACAGACAGTGACCAACTGACCCTACTATACTGTGCTGTCAACAAAATCAAAAAGAAAAAACACACACAAAATTAAAAATACAAGATTGCGACAATTTACCCATCGCACGCTGTGTGTGTATGTGCATATATATATATATATATATATATGCATGCATAAATAATTCCATAATAATTCTTTTATGGATATTGTATTAGTTGTATAATATCAGATCATTGCAAAAGATTGTGCCCAATTTTGCATCAATTTCTGGTGTGTTTTATACATTGAAACTTTTCATCGTTCATTTACAAGTCAGTCTTTGTTCAATGTTGATGTTTGTGCATAAATGAAAGCCTTAAAGATGGTGGGGGGAAGTTGCACTTTGACCTCATTGTGCTCTATGAATTTTGGAAAGGAGTAAGGATCAGATCAGCAAGAAAAAAAAACATTCAGAAGGCTTATTTGGATCGTGTTCCATCTCTTCAGAAAGTCAAAAAATGGTTTAGCAGATTTGCTCATGGTGATTTTAACCCAAGCAATCAACCATGCCCCGACTTGTGTTCAAGAAAAACAGTCAATTTTAGCAAATTTTAAGTTTCATTTTCCACCACAACAGGACAAGACCACAGGTTGTAAAAAGAGACCACATGTTGCCAAACAGATCTTGCAGGAGATTAAAGAGTTTAAACCACAAACCCTCCAACACCTGCTGCATTCTCCTGACTTGGCTCTTTCAAATTTTCATTTGTTCCAGTCTGTATAGAACAATTTAAATGGCAAAAAATTTGACTGTACACTCAGTCAAAAACTCTCTCACAATGTTCTTCTAACAAAAAACATGAAATTTTTACAAAAATGGCATCAGCAAGATTCCAGAACAATGAGAGTTGTTATAATCATTGGAGACTATGTGCCATGTCCCTTCAGGTGACTTCAATATCTGGACACAATGAGTAGTTAGTCCACTGAAACAAATCCAATGAAGAAGTCCGATATTACAGAGACTTCTCCATCGCCCATAAAGACAGATCATCGAAGAACCCACACATGTCCCGGACACAATGGAGCAGCAAGCGAATCTCCTCAACCGTTTTCTAACATCCTGCCCTGATAAATGCTTAGCAAAAGTTTTACCTCCCATAGACACACCAAACCATTCCCTAATCAGTGTCCAGATTGATGACAAAATAAGGATATCCCCTGATAGATTTGGTTTACAGCATATCAACCTCAATGGGTCATTTAATGCTGATAAAATTTTCATTGTTGGTAATATTTTTTTTCCAAAAATCTATTTCTGATAATATTTTTTCCTTTAAAAATCTATTTCTGGTAAGAATTTCCCTTTGCTGGTAATATTTTTTTTTTTTTCAAAAATTTATTGCTGGTAATAATTTTTTTATACAAAGTATTTCTGGTACTAAAACTTACTTTTACACTTTCATAGTGTTTTGATCTGAGTTTGGAGGTTAACTATTTGCCCATATCTGGGACCCTAACAGGTGCTACCACTCCGGGTCAGGATGGTCTTGGGAACACCAGCATATATGAGGTGGTTCCAAGCTCCTCAAAACTTTCTGATCAGAGGCCTTGCTGTTGGACATAGTTTATTGTTTTACCCAGGACATGGATGTAGTTTGTCGTCATACCCAGGATGAGATATCCCCTGATAGAAGATGATTTTTTGCTATGCAAAGGTAGACTGGGACAGTTTTTGGTCCTATGTGACAGAATCTCCTTTCTCAATCTTTTTCAAGCACACAACCTGAAAAACTGCTGACTTCATCTCAGAATGGATCCTTTTTGGAACAGAGAGTTTTATATCCCCTCCCCCAGTGAAAACCAAGGTCAGCCCTAGTTCACCCTTGAATACACTGTACCCATAGCTCAACAGAACCACTACTTCAATGTCTAGCTGTGTAGTCTGGCCCTTATTGCTTTCAGAACTGCCTGCAATCACAGCAAGAGACTTCTGGAAAATTCAAAGTGCAGATCTCGCAAATTCTGGAAGATCACCAACCAAATTATAACAGTTTTCCTTCTCCTAGACTGGTTGCCACCCAAGGCTAGAGGACCCAGTCTGTCCTACTATTTATACATAGCTGGGGGAAAAGAGTTAGATTCATACCTTCTCCAAGGGTATTAGCATGTAAGTAAATATAATGCACTTGGTTAGATTATGAACACGGTTCTCTAAATAGGAAAAACAATGAAATTTTCACAGGGCTTTTTAGTTAATGATTATTATTATTATTGAATATATGGCAAAACCCAAAATTATTTTTTGGTAAAGGTAGGCAACCTTCAGTTTTTTGGTAATTCTACAAAATCCATAGGGTGGCCCCGAACTTTTGGCCTGTTGTATATACAATAAGAGAAAAACAACAATTAAACTTACTTTTATAGTCATCCTCCCCAAATCGGTGTTGATCAACGCATACCTCTCCTATTGAAAGAGAGTCAATACAAAATCGAGGCGAAATCTCAAACATCTTCTCAACTTCATCGTGTAGTGTGGAGATGTGGCCCATACATTCTCCTCGATCCATTGTGGAAATGTGGGATATAAGGGGTTGCAATTCAACCTCTTCCTGATTGGCTGAGGTGTCCTTGGATGACCCCAATCCAGGAGTCTCGTTAAGGGCCGTGTCAGACAGGGCAGACTCAGGGTGGCTGCCAAGACCCACCTTGAGACTACCATCCTCCATTTCATCCTAAAAAAGATAAGAAAGAAAACAAAGTTAATATGAGAATCATCTTTTGAGAGGAACTGTAAAAGTTGAGAGCCTGGTAAAGTGATTTTTCATACATTACAATATATATTAAAACAGCATTTCTCAACCAGTGCATCCAAGCATCCTAATGCACCCTGAATAGTAACCAGGTGTGCCCCATGTTAATTTTATATTTAATAAATCTTTATTTTTAAAAAAAAAGTTAGAGACACCATGCACATGGCCTCCATGTCTAAATCAAGTTTTTATTATTTGATATTTTATACTGGATGCAAAATTGTTTAATCTTCAAGAAGGAGTGGATAATCCTTCCTCAAGGGATTTAAATTGATCATTACCAGCCTACCTAAAAAAAAAAAAGAAAAAAAAAAAAAGAAAGAGATTCTTCATAAATCCCTTTAAATGAAAACTTTACCATTAATCTTCTTTGGGAATCAGTCAGTTAAGTGCCATGAGTGATAGAAGCTTAAGTGATCTTTCGATACATGACTAATGAGGCAGATTTTTTTTCCTGCAGTAGATTGCCATTTCTTTCTGCGGTAGACTAGTTGCCATCCAAAGCTATAGAACCTAGTCTGTCCTGCTATTTACCCATAGCTGGTGGGAGAAGAAGAGGATTCATACCTTTCCCAAGGGTATTAGCACGAAAGTGAATGTAATGGATTCAACTGGAATTTGAACTCTGCTCTCCGATTCCTCAGTTCGAGCTGCTATCCATTACTCCACTGTGCCTCCCCTTACTCCATTGTGCCTTTGGGAATGCTAAACTGAAATTTCATATTTTCAAATTTCATGAATAATTTTTCCTTATTTTAAGTTAAAGTGCATCCCAGACTTGAAGTAAAAAAGGTTGAGAAACACTGTATCAAAGAATATTTGTACTTGCGAATATTAATAGAAATATTACATGAACGCAAGTAAATGAAAAATGAAAGTAAGTATAAAAACATGTTACTTGCCGATCAATAATTTATTAGTAAACAATTAAGTAGCTTTGATTTTGTTAATATTTCCATATTTATTGCCATCATCTTCACAACATTATCTACATAAAGTAAGGATGAAAGTAAGTATGGGAAACAGGCTTGTAGCTAATCAATATTTGATTTTTCATCACATTATAATTTAATGTATTTTAAACATGGTAAATTATGCAACACTTATTTTGATTAACTACATTACTTAGAACGATTACTTCACTACTTATATAAATATAACAATCTCTTTGTTGGTAATAATATAAATTACAATTAGCTATAAAATATAAAATAAAGTAACCAAATAATCATTTTAAGTTCTCTGAATATCAGTGTCTTTAATTGTAGCATATCTACAGACAATAATAGGTATGTTCCCATTCACATAAATACAGTAGTAAATACTGTATGTTGGTCTGCAGATGGAGATTCATTGTGGAATTTATTTGACTCACTTCTAGCAGTTGACTACTTTTCTACATGCTGCTGGCAAATCTTACATGTGTTGTTCTTGTCCCAAGTATTATCGTTCATTACCAACCTTCATTCAATTATTCTATTCAGTAACTTTCTCTAAGTTACAACATTAATAAAATAAAAAGATGAAAAATTGATAAAATATGGAATGAGGAAGCACTGATAAAATTAATCCAGTGTAAAGTTGGTATAAATTATTTATTCTGCAGAAACAGAAAGGATGATTTTAAAATTGAGTCTGAAATAGTTATGTATTCAATTCTGATAAGTCCTATTATATTAAACATCAACAGTCAGTAGGTGATCCAGTAGTCCATGTAACATGACTGGGGTCCACACAAAAATATACAGTAAATTATATATTTTACACACAGTAAATTATGCAACACTTATATTGATTAACTGCATTACTTAAAACGATTACTTCACTACTTATATAAATATCAAAATCTCTCTTATTTAGTAATAATATAAATTACAATTAGCTATAAAATATAAAATGAAGTAACCAAATAATCGTTTTAAGTTCTCTGTATTTGTATTTAAGAGATTTTACATTTTTGCTGCCTTACGGCCACTTTGAAAGCTCCACATAATGAGAGCAACATATGAGTTGATCGGAAGTATTCTAAAATCTCTATATTTGTATTTAAGAGATTTTAAACTTCTTCTGCCTTGTAGCCATCTAGAAAGCTCCATATAGTGAGAGTAAGGTCTGAGAGCAACATATGGGTTGATTAGAAGTATTCTAAAATGTCTATATTTGTATTTAAGAGATTTTAAACTTCTGCCTTGCGGCCATCTTGAAAGCTCCATATAGTGAGAGCAAGGTCTGAGAGCAATATATGGGTTTGATCGGAAGTATTCTAAAATATTTGTCTGACTGTCACCTCTTCTCTTTCTAGCTCTCCTTGTAGATTGTTTTATTTGTCAAATTCGACTTGACAGACCAATTATTGGTCTGAAAATTGTGGCTGTTTGGTCAGTATTTCATTCACACTATAAGAGCCATATAGAGACGGCAGTTCTTTGTTATGTGTTAATTTTTTTATGTTATCTACTGTTTCATTGTTATATAGATGGCTACTAATATATTCCAGCTGATAATGGTGAAATACGGTTACGTTTTACTTCAGGTTCATTATTTCAGATTTGGTTTGCAAATTATCCCCCATAACTAAATTTCCCCAGGTGGTTCGAATAAGGACTTTTAAATTTTCAAAAGAGAACAACTTTTCTAAAAATACCATATTTAGACTATTTACATTATTCGGAATATTGTCCTCATCTTTGTCGTCATATTTATTACAATGTTTCGGCCGTTGTACACTCTGGCCTTCTTCTAGTTCCACGTTTTTAATGGATGTCAGTTATCAGTTACCTCCTGTTAATTCCCCTCTCCAAGTTCTCCACTGCCCTAACCGGGTATTGAACTCACACTGTTTGGGTCCTGTCACTGGATATAACCAACACCTTTATCCACTGTGTCATGTGTCCTTGAGGACACGACACAGTGGATAAAGTGACAGGACCCAAAGAGTGTGAGTTCAATACTTAGTTAAGGCAGTGGAGAACTTTCAGAGGAGAATTAACAGGAGATAACTGATTACTTACATCCATTAAACACGGCACGTGGAACTAGAACAGTCTACTCCAGTGAGTGAAATAAAGGTTCAGTTTGACATTCCAACCACCTGAAGAAGGCCGGAGTGTACAACGACCGAAACTTTGTAATAAATATGGTGAAAAAGATGAGGACAATATTCTGAATAATGTAAATAGTGTACATAATACCTCATCTCAGAAATATAGACAGATACCATATTCAGCTCGGTAACGTTTTTTTCTGCTTGCGAAAACCAGTCAAGATAAATATACCGATGCTGAATTGATGAAAAAACCTCCACATACAATCTCAAACAGAAATACATGGGTCATCAGCACTGACTTAAATATTATTCAAACAAGTCTTCATAATATTTTCAGTTTTCGTTCATTTACCCCAGTGGTTCTCAACCGGGGTCCATGTAACATTACTGGGGTTCACACAAAAAAATAGCACATTGGGAGCATACTAATATTTTTTTTATCTGTTAGATTGTTCAGCATACACTGCCATATAGGAGGACTGATATTACATAACAATTCAGTACTCTTTTCTTTGTTTCTCTTGCTTCAAGTCTCTTCTTCATCTGTGAGGAGATTGCCCAGCATTCACTGCCATATAGGAGGACTGATATTACATAACAATTCAGTACTCTTTTCTTTGTTTCTCTTGCTTCAAGTCTCTTCTTCATCTGTGAGGAGATTGTCCAGCATTCACGACCATATAGGAGGAATGATATTACATAACAATTCAGTACTCTTTTCTTTGTTTCTCTTGCTTCAAGTCTCTTCTTCATCTGTGAGGAGATTGTCCAGCATTCACAACCATATAGGAGGACTGATATTACATAACAGTTCAGTACTCTATTCTTTGTTTCTCTTGCTTCAAGTCTCTTCTTCATCTGTGAGGAGATTGCCCAGCATTCACGACCATATAGGAGGAATGATATTACATAACAGTTCAGTACTCTATTCTTTGTTTCTCTTGCTTCAAGTCTCTTCTTCATCTGTGAGGAGATTGTCCAGCATTCACTACCATTCATTTTCTAATGACATTTTTCTGTTCCTCAATACTACTCAAAATAGAAAAACAGATCTAAAACTATCAGAAAAAAAAAATCAAGAAATGTAATTTAGCATCCATTTTATTCAACTGGATATTTTGATTGAAAAAGTTGAATAAAAACTGAGAAGGATATATATATATATGTTTTATATGTATATATATGTTTTATATGTATATAAAGGAAGCATTATACATAGAAAGATTATATAAATTAATATATTAATAAATAATAATAATTTTAAATATTAATAAAATAATATATTAATATGAATTAATATAGTAACAGACTTGACATTGTGAAAAGGAGTGATCTTCAACTATCATTGACATCAATGGAGCTGAACATAAAAAAAAAACTCACAGAGTAGCATCAATAACTGGGATCTCATTGAATGAATATACACTTTTTTAAATTTATTAATTACCGTCATATTTTAAAATGGTTTATTATGAGTTATTTTATTCGTGTACATAAATGTTCCATAGAATTTAGTTAAATACAATTAAATTTTCATTAAATTAGTTTAACTTTAAAATAAAGTATATACATTTACTATTTTTATAACAAAATTCCTAAACTTATCTATTAGTAAAAAAATAATTTTTTTTTATCAAATGGTTGGGTGGGGGGCAAAAATAATTAAGAGTAAAATTAGTCCATGGGTAAAAAAAGTTGAGAACTAAGTATGTTAAACACTGCTTTCCTCTGTCCCTCTTTCCCTCAATCTGTCCTGAGAGTAACAAACTTTCCAAGCCCTCCTTCCTCATACCCTAGAAATTTCAACTGCTTCTTCCTAATGTTAAGTATGGTTCCTTTTTGTTTCCATTTTCTCTAAAACCTCATCGTT